TTTTTCCATTTCCGGAAAGAATGGTTTGCCAAAGTATCTAAAAATTTAGTCTGACATATGAAACAATTTTATTAGATTATCAAAATAATTACGTATGTTCATGTAACTGCCAAAATATAAAAATTTTTTACAGCATTGTTCATCATGCTTCAGTTTAATTCGTACATAATTATTTGAATGGTCCAACAAAAATATTTTCGGATCTGTATCTAGCTAAATTTTTAGATATTTCAGCAAAAAATTGTTTTTTCCGTAGATAATTCTTTCCGTAGCTAGTTCTTAGTATTCACCAACAAAAGCAAAAGTAATAATTTTTTTACGTTTAGGTATATTTTTGTGCTGTTAAAGTTCTTCAAACTAATTTAACCGTCATACAATAAGCATGCGACCGCATTTTACGATTTTGTAAACTGGGTCAATCCTAACGAGACTGACAAAAAAGTGATCCGCTTCACTGAGAAGTATTAAACAAGAATTTGATAACATAAGATAACCAAGAAAGAGCAAATAGAGCGCCAGAATTACGTCAATGTCCTTTTAGTACGAAAAATCGTTCCACAATATTAAATTTTTGCGTCACAAAATAATTTTAAAAAATTAATAATAATATGATAATTAATAATAATCATACCTGAACTTATATATATCTTTTTTAATTAAGTTTTTAATTGTAATTATTATTAATTTTAATTAATAAAAATAATTACACTAATAAAATTGAAATTTTAATTAGCGTAATTAGTTATTATTATTGATATAACATGACACTCTTGAATAATTTAGAAATAAAATTTATTATAAACGTATGATACCTACTCTTTAGATGCATTTATGTGTATATATATATATATATATATATACATATATACGTATATTTAAATACATATATATTCAAATTAGAAAATTATAAAAATATTTATATTTCCTAAACCATTCATTTAATTTTATTACGATCCATAAATATAGAAAGGATTAATTAAATAGATTTATTTGATTATCCTCCAATTATCCTCTTTTTTTTGTTTAATCTTTCGTTTCATCACTTTGTTAAGTGCAAATTATATGATGAATATCAAAAGAAGTATTGTTATGTTAAAAACTATTTTTTTTTTCCGGTAATAATGGTCTCAACAATAATGAACAACTTTCGAATTTTTTTACTTCCGCGAGCTAATGCGCGGGTGATCATTAACGCTGTCCTTAATTAAGTAAAGCTTCTCTGGTTACTAGAGAAATGGCGGAAGCAGTAATTTATAATACAGCGATAAGGTGCGATCATGAGTAGGATATAATATTTTACGGAAAAAATAACTTTTCTTCAGTGTCGATCGAGTATAGCCGAGTACTTGCCCGAGTTCCCCTCTCGGCGTTTCTCTTTGCATAAGATTTTACAGCGGATGCACGCATTACAGAATTTTTGTGAGACTACCGAACAGCACATAAAAAGCGTCATATTTTATGAAGCAAACTCCCTCCGTCAATGTTTAATCAAAAAACACTTCTACCAGTCTCTTAAGAACTTCCTGTGCCTTCCGAGAGGTTCTCATGAAAATATTCAGGATACATAATTAACGAACAAAATATTAGTCTGAACCTTGTTTTTCAAATATGAAAATTAACTTCTTAAGATTCTTAGGAGACAAGAAAACATATAAATCAATCGCACCTCCACTCGACAGCGGAATGGAAAGTGGAATTGGACTGTTCTACAAATTCGTGTGACGCCTATCGCCTAATCTAAATTTAAAATTAAACAAGCTTAAAGTTTGACGGTATATCATTCAATTAAATTATTAGTCCGCTTTAATTTTCGGTGAACATTGGAAATCATAATTGTGTTACTCGATTTATCGAGGAACGACTATAATAATTAAAATAATATTTAAATTGGCATTCAATATACTCCCAGTAAATTAATGTAAATAATTCCTGAGTAAATTAATGTTAATATGTACATACACATGCAAATATAATATTTGTAAACATTCACTTTAAAAAACATTAAGTATTTCCATCAATGTTAAAAAACATTTGCTTGTTAATTTTAAGAATTATTTAATGTTGTTAATTATTTTCTACATAATAGTATTCATTTCTCGGTTACTAAACTTTATTGAGAAATAATAGAGTATATTAAACATATCATATTTCTGTATATTTAAATTTTTTAATCAATTTTTATTACAATGTTTATAAATTTATATAATATATGAATAAAAACGTTGTGTGCGTATTTATATATATATATATATATATATATATATATATATATATATATATATATATATATATATATATATATATATATATATATTTTTTAGGCGTTTAATCACTCTTTCTAATAAGTACTATCCCATTTACAAAAATTGGATATTCTTTAAACCCGTTATATCCATCCGTCATCCAGATGATCTAAAGGTAATAAAATATGAACAAAATTTTATTCTCTTCTTATTATTCTTACTGTAAGTATTATAATAGAAAATAAGATAATTTTCTTTTCTTTTATTTCGCAAAGATATATTTACCAAAAATTAGACGAAATAAGAAATACAGACTACGATAACAAAAAAGATTAAACTGGCATATAATAGCCACGTTCATGACTTTAAGGTTATTTTTAACTGAATAGTCTGTACTCTTCGCAATCGTTATTCTTTTAGATTTTCAAATTATCTATCTATTCATTCTATTTTTTTAAGTACACATTTTAATAGACCTTACAGTGATAACTACCCATATTTTATACCTACTTTTTCTTTTCTAATTACACTAATAATTTTTTTTTATTATAATTAATTTTATTCTAATCAATAAAGATCCGAACTATGATTAAAACATTGTTTTGCAACATCTAAATATTTATTATGTAATATTCTATTAATAAATATTTAGATGCTCACAGGGAGAGATGCCAGAAATCCGAGTTCGACGTAATATTTTTTACAATAAGAATTATTTAGGATTGTAATATGTCATTCAGCATTAGGATACGAGTTCTAAGATACGTAAGAGCAGTAAATTATTAAATTATTAGTCCATTTAACTCCTGATATTATTAGTTTAGTATACTTTGTTAGATTTAAAAAAAAATCACTTCGGTGCGCATTTTAAAGGGCTACATAATATTACGTATAAATTCACATAGAATTATACAAACACTTAAGATCCAGCTGGACCGTTTAAGGCATTTATTTCCTATAGGTTGTATTTTTCACATATACGATTCTATTATTATTAAATATTTAAATATTATGCATCGATATTTGTGTTAGTTCATTCTATGATTTTATATCATGATTCTATTACTATTAAATATTTAAATATTATGCATCGATATTTGTGTTAATTCAAATTGGCTTTATTTCTTATTTCGTTTGATTTATTCTCAGAGCCTTACTTATTATTATTTGCTCGTAAAATATTTGTTAAAAATGATTGAATATTTAAAATACTTTCGAAATCAATTCATACGATACGCAATTTTAGACGATATTAAGCAACTCTAAAAATATAAAAACGAGTTTTATTTATGATAATCTCAAACCTTGGCTCGGAACTATTCCCATTAGTGAAGGTAATGAAATTAACATAAATAAGAATAAATTAGAATTTTATTACTAAGTTTCGTTTTGGCTATCAAGGTTTCATCATATTGATAATAAAATAAATTTGTAATGTAAATAAATTTAATTTAAAATTAAATTAAAAGATTGTACCTCATCGTTTATTCCAATGCTTATTTCGAATCGTCATTTCACAATTGTAGATTGTGTTGTTCATGTTTTAGGGACTAAATGGCAGTCACAGCGAAAGATATTAACTGCTACATTTCAAAAATGTAAAAAATGAATGTGGTTATAATTTCAAAAATATGAAAAGAAAGAGCATAAAGAACCACAGCACAAGATGTAGTTATGATATTTAATTATTCTTGTATTACGAATTACAATAAAACATTAAACGTTTCGGCCACAGTCTGGCCATCTTCAGTAAAATTAATAATATTCTTAAGGCGCAGAGTTACATCAAGTTGGAATCAAATACAACCCTCGTGTGTTATAATTGTAAAGATCGTGTTTGCATCAAAGCGACGCTGTTTCATATAATAATGTTAGAACGTCAGAAGTCATGTAGTAAAAAGTGTAGAACGAGAATTTCCAGATTCTAATTTACAATAATTTATTTTATTATTAATATCTTTTAAAACAGGGTATAAAACAAAGGAAACATTACCTGTTTTACAGCAAAATAATCGATGAATTACAAGTATACTCAATTCACAGATAGAAATTTGTCGTGACACTATGTGTTGTTATTGGTCGTAGCACATATTTTTCGGCTATTTATATCCATGAGTCAAATAGTTTAGAAAGTTCTAGAATTGTTTATTAAGTGCGAGGGAGATCTTTCTTTAGAAGAGGAAGATAAACATCAGGCAAACCTTCAGTATCACTTTGTTTATTGATCCCACTTATTTGGTGTATCATTTCTGAAATTCTTCGTTTCATCAATGATTGTTCTATATCTAAAATTTTAATGTTATCCCAATCAAAATCATGCATTTCATTCACACGGTGACGTGAAACAACTGATATCTCAGAAATAGATTTCTTAATATCAGTCTTGTGTTCTTTAATGCGAGTTTTTAATTTTCTCTTAGTTTGGCCAACGTATGACGACTCGCAATTCAAACAATTAATTTTATAAACTACCACACAATGGTCATTCTTAAGCAAGGGATCCTTTCCTGTTTTAATAATTGTATTTAATTTATTCAACGATTTATAGGCTATATTAAACCCATGAATATAAGCAAGTTTTTTGAATTTCTGTACAGTATCAACTTGTACGCACAGCAGATGCAGAGTCAAATGAGACCAAAGAATGACAGTTTTAAAACGTTTGAAATATGATTTTTTTATTATGATAAGTAGTAAATTACTTCAAATATGTAGAAGAGTGAAATAAAAACACATATTTATCATACAAACAAAACTTTGACAGTGATATATCAGTAGAAGAAGATGATGTAAAATTGATTGGAAGTATGTAATATAATCAAAAGATATTCTTTAAATTGAATATAATATTATAAATTATTAGGTGTTGGAATTAATTCGTAGCGTTTTTTAATGAAAGAATGTTATTTATTTCACATGAGCATTAAAAAATACATTAATGAAAGTACTTCCCATCACTTGTAAAACGCTACGAATTAATTCCAACACCTAATATATTTTACGATTAAAACAATAATCTAAAAATACCATGCTTATATATTTCGATTTAGCGCAAAGGAAGCAGCTTGCAATGTTGGATCTTCTCATAGCGGCATATCGTGAAGGTGTCATGACTGATTTAGAGATTAGACAGGAAGTTGACACTGTTATGACTGCGGTATACATTTGTAATATCTCATGGTATTTTTAAATACAATATTTGATATACCAATGTTTATAATATGGTTATAGGGTCATGATACTACAGCGTCAAGTTTAAGTTTCATTTTGGCATTATTAGCTGAACACAAGGACATTCAGGTATTTATCGTCAAATATAAGCTGTAACTTTTATACAAAAAAATTAGTTAATTCACTAATTCCAGGAATTATTTATTAAAACTGTATCAATATTAAACATTTCAAATACTTTTTAAGAGCGCGCGTGCGTGTGTGTGCGTGTAATGCGTGCGTGCGTACACACAATTCACTTTTCTATGTATCAATAAATGTTGATATACAAAACAAAAAACACATACACACGTGTGCAATTCATACACATATAAATATATTTAAATAAGAAACGTATTTTTAATGATTAATAATACAGGATCGTGTCAGAAACGAAGTCGATATTGTTATGCAAGAGAATGAAAATAAATTAACTATGAAATTTTTGCATCAACTATCATATTTAGAAAGATGCATAAAAGAAGCTTTGCGCTTGCATAGTGTCGCATTGTTTATATCACGCGTATGTGGAGAAGATGTAAAATTACGTACGTATTAAACCAACTCTTATTATATTTATAAATTTATTTTATTTTTAAATATATTATTCAATATCTTAGATAGCAAAATAATGTTTCGAAAATATTGCTATTAAATGTAGCTTTGTAGATATATAAGAACTAAGCAATGCAATTCCATTTCAAAAATTCAAAAATTTCTATGTTTTTATTAATTGAAAATTTAAAATTAAAATAATTATTACATTTTTCATTAAACAAATTTGTAAACACTCATTCCTGCATTAAATAGATACTCAATTTAAA